CTGCACTTCTACTACTCTATCTATCTGTGTTCCTCTACTGTCGCCAGGGTTCTCAGAGGCCTGTTATTTCAGAAGTAGATGGCCAATCTAGTTGCCTACTCTGTCTTACATGGGAGCTCCACTAACACTTATTTACCATGGGTAGTTCCTCTGGCATTTGACACAGTAGTTGCACAGTTTTAAGTATCACCGTAACCCAGAATTGAAGCAAACTGACAGAAAGGTACTGTACTAAAAAGAACAATAATAAACAAGCAAGAATACAAACTACAAAGTAATTAGCAACATACATATTAATTCCCTAATACAACAAACTGAAACACAAGTCTTATAGTTTGTTGGTGTTGTTTTTAGAGACAAGTACGGTCCATATCAGCCCTGTGAACAGCATAGCTGGACCCTGCCCTATTCTGTCCCGTCCTCACACTTCCTAACACTAGAGCCATTGTGGAAGTCGCTGTGTTAATGCACCTGGTAGAGGATACTCCTTTCCTTGCTGACCCTCTATCTTTCTGAGCATCATGTCATTCTCAGCTAATCCTAGCAACATAATCAAAGTTATGTTTGACGAAGCCTCATCATCTTTGTCTTCAAAGAGCACTCTAGCTGGACCCGCTCCAAGACATATCTGTTTGTCCATCTGGATGTCCAATGCTCATCTCCAACACTACAGCTCAAAAGCATCATTTTAGCTGCTGTCATTCTTTTTCATTGTCCAGTTCTCAGATGCATAGCAAGTGATAAGAAAGACAATGGCCTTAATCAGATACACCTTAGTCTTCAAACTGACATCATGACTCCTCAGTAATTTGGAGAAGTGGCTGGCTGCAGACTTTGCTAGTTCGAAAATCTTCTTATTTCCTGGAAGCTGTTACCAAGGGTGTTGACTATTAATCCAATGAAGTTGTTAACAGTTTCAATCTTGTCTCCAACTATCATGATATTGCCTAACGGTCCAGTAGTAAGAAGTTTTGTCTTCTTGACATTGAGATGCAATCCATATTGAAGGCTATATTCTCTGATATTCTGGAGCAAGTGTTTCAAGTCCTCACTTGCAGCAAGATTTTTTTTTGCACCTGCTTGATGAATCTTCCTCTGATTTTGATGACATAGTCTTCTTTACAGCATCCAAATTCTCAAATAATTTGTTCAGCATACATATTGAATAGATATGGAGAAAACAACCCTGACATCGTCTCTTCTTAATTTTAAACCATATATTCCCTTGTTCTGTTTGAGCAATAGCCTCCTGATATAGGTATAGGTTTTGCATGAGCACAATTTAGTCTTTGGAGATATCTACTCTTCTCAGTGTTAGCTGTAATTTGTTATGACCCCACAGTCAATAAAACATAAAAAGACTTTCTTCTGGTATTCCTTACTTTCAGCCAGGATCCATCTGAGATCAGTATTGCTATCCCTGGTGCCACAGTCTCTTCTAAATCTTGCTTTAACTTCTGGCAGTTCTCTATGTATTGTTTTTTAATGATCTTGTAATGAGACATTTTTAAATGATCTTCAGCAGTATTTTGCTTGCATGTGATATTAATGATCTTGTTCAATAGTTTCCAGATTCTGTTGGATCACCTTTCTTTAGAAGGCGAACATTTATGGACCTCTTCCAATCTGTCGGTCAGACTGCTGTACTCCAAATTTCCTAGCATAGACTGGTGAGAGCATGCATTCAGGGCTGCATCTGTTAATTGATTTAAGACAATTGGTATTTTCTTAATCCCTTGTGCCTTATTTTTTGCCAATGCCTTCAGTGCATCTTTCAACTCTGCCTTCATCACCACTGGCTCCTGCCCACATGGTACTTCCTGAAAGTTTTCTGTGTCAGTCAGTTCTTTTTGGTACAATGAATGTACATATTCTCTCCATCTTCATTTGATACTTCTGGGTCACTCAATATGTTCCCCATAGCATCTTTCCATATTGTGGCTTGAGGCTACTTTTCCATTCTCATTTTGGGATTTGTAGAGTGAGTTCTGCTATTTGTATTCTCCAATTTTTGCTCTCTGCACTTTCCACTGTAATACTTTGCTGTGTCTTCTCAAGCTGCTCTTTGAAATCTTCTGTTCAGCTCTTTTGCTTTAGCATGTTTTCCCTTCTCAACACTGTAGTGTAATTTTTAGAGCCTCTTTTGACATCTGTTTTGGGCTTTTCTTTCTCTCTTTCTTTGTAATGATCATTTCCTTTCTCTATGGATGATATCGTAGATATTCTCCTACACCTCATCTGGTCTTAGATCATTAGTGTTCACTGCTTCAAGACTATTCTTGAGATGATCTTGACATTCAGATGGAATAGATTTAAGATCATATTTTGGTTCTCCTGGGCTTATTTTAAGTCTTCATCCTCAATTTGAACTTGTACATGAATAATTGATGGTCTGACCTACAGTTCACGTCTGGTCTAGTTTTGACTGCTGATACTGAATCTTTCCAATGATTCCTTCCACATATGTAGTCAATCTAATGCCTGGATAGCCCATTAGGTGAGGTCCATGTATAAAGTCACTATTTGTGTCTTTAAATAAGTATTTGCAATAAATAAATCCTTGAAAATACAAAAGTTGATCATTTTCTTTCCAGCCTCATTTCTATCACCAAGCCCATATTTTTTTAACTACTATTCCTTCTTCACTGTTTCTAACATTTTTATTTAATTTAAAATAAGGTGGGTTTTTTTTTTTTGTTTAATTAATCATCAGGTATGAGCTGTTTGATCTTTTTTGTTTTTTGTTGTTTAATTAACAACCAGGTGTGACCTGTTTGGTATTTTTTTTAATTTAAATGACAATCAGATATGAGCTGTTTGGTCATTTTGATTTAATTAACAATTAGTTGTGGGCTGGCAGTCCCTTATATAAGCCAATTAGGACTCAGTGAGCAGGTCTTTGTGATTAAAAATTGGTCCCCAAGGCTCAGCGTGAAAACTGATTTTCTTTTAGGGTTACAAACTAAATTGTCAGTTTGTTATGTTTGGAGAGAGCATTATTCTAATTGATACAGCACTTTTCTGTCAGCTTGTTGTCCTGAGGTACCTTGTGAGTGCTGCGATACAGAAAGCTGTGCCACTGGTATGTCCAATGTATAAGGGTTACCCATGGTGGGCAGGTTTTAGTATAGCTCCCAGTTTAAGACACACTAGGAAGCAGGATTGGCCTTCTACTTCTTAAATAACAGGTCTCTGAAAACTCTATGAATAATAGAGGAACACAGATATCCTCACTGTTTAGGAGGCTTCATATATGGGTCTAGTGTGCCATGTCCAAGTCCCAGTATACCAGTGGTGATAAAGGAGAAAGTTCAAGCTGTACAGAAGGCATTGGCAAAATAAGGCCTCAGGAATCAATGGCATACCAATAGATATGTTTCAAACGACATATGCAGCCCTGGATTGTGATTACCAGTCTACGCAGAAAATTTGGAGGACAGACATTTCCCCCTATTCCCAAGAAAGAGGACCTAAGAGAATGTGGAAATCATTTAACAATATCATAGCAAACAAAATACTGTTGAAGATCATCCAAAAACTACCGGAACAGTGCATAGACAGGGAACTGCCAGATGTGCAAACTGGATTTTAGAAGAGGCATGACATCGTAGGAATAGCCGATGTTTGATGGATCCTGCATGAAAGCACAAATTACCAAAACAATGTCTATTGGTGTTTTATTGGCTATGCAAATTATTTGACTGTGTGGATTACTATTATGGCTAACACTGAGACACAGGAATTCTAGAACACTTAATCGTACTTGTGTGAAACCTATAATTAGAAGAGACTTGTGTGAACAGAGCCTAAAACACTACATGGTTCAACATTAGGAAAGATGTTTATCAGAGCTGTATCCTTTCCCCATACCTATGCAATTTGTATACTGAGAAAATGATGCAAGAAGCTGAACTTTAAAAAGAATGGGGGTTGGCGAGCTCTGGTGGCCTAGTGGCCGTAAACTGCACTGCAATCCCAGAGGTGCGCGGTTCAAATCCACCAGATGCTCTGCTGAAGGAGGAACAATCACCTCTTGTACCAGTCAGATCCAATTTGACGGTACACACATAAAAAGAATGAATGAATGAATGAATGAATGAATGAATGAAAATAAAAAATAGATAGATAGATAGATAGATAGAAAGAATGGGGCAACAGGATTAGAGGAAGTCTCATCATTATGCCAAAAGAACAGTCAGGTATGTCTTGAAGAAGGTGCAGCCAGAGTGCAGCAGGATGGAAAATCTTCATCTTACATATTTAGGCATGTTGATAGGAGAGGCTGTTCTTTGGAGAGGGACATCACCCTTGGAGAGGTGAATGGACAGCAGAAGAGGGGAAGACTGTCAACCAGATAGATTGATAAAGTGATTGCAGCAATGGACTCAAGTATGTCAAAGATTGTGAGGATGGCAGAGAATAGGACAGGGTTCAGGTATTTTGGTCCAGTGGAGAGAATCTTTGTCTTCTTAACATTGAGACTCAATCTATATTGGAGGCTGCAGTCCTTAAACCTTGCACCAAGCACTTCATGTCCTCCTTAGTTTCAGCAATCAGGATTGTGTCATCTGCATAACGCAGATTGTTAATAGATCTTCCACCAATGCTGATGCCACATTTCTCCTCATAGAGCCCAGCATCTCGGATAATCTGCTCTGCATACAGGTTGAAAAGGTATGGAGACAGGACACATCCCTGGTGCACACCCTTCCCAGTTTTGAACCATGCAGTGTTTCCTTGCTCTGTTCTGACGACTGCCTCTTGGTCCAAATATAAGTTTCACATTAGCACAATCAGGTGTTCTGGTATTCCCATTCTTCTCAGAGTCAGCCACAGTTTGTTATGATCCACACAGTCAAATAGCTTTGCATAGTCAATGAAACAGATTAAAAAATAAAAAGTAAAGAACTTGTACATGAGTAAATAACAACAACAGCAACAAAAAGAATGAAGACCTGAAGACATGAGGCTCTTACACTGAGCATTTGTGTAGAAGAAATTTATTTCTTGTTCATGAGCATCACCAGCTCCTCCTCTGTGATGGTGTCACTGCGGAACTTCTGCTGGAGCTCTGGGCTGCAGGACTTAAGGGTCTTGATGCTCATAAAGCTTGACACGTTCACCACTCCACCTTGAGTTTTCATTAGAGGTAGCAACTCTGTGCAGATGTTTCGGGTACTAAAAAACTTTGTTTTCATCGTCACCTCTGCTTGAATAGGAAAGGGTGTAGGATCAGCAATCTTGAAGGCGATGCCCGCGTTGTTGACCAGCACGTCTAAGCCCCCATACTCGCAGCGCAGGAAGTCGCGCAGGGCGCGGATGCTCTGCAGGTCGTCGATGTCCAGCTGGTGGAAGCGCGGGTTCAGGCCCTCCGCCTGCAGCTGCTGCACTGCCGTCTGGCCCCGTGTCACATCCCGCGCCGTGAGCACCACGTCCCCCGAGAACTGGCGGCACAGCTCGCGCACGATGGCGAAGCCGATGCCCTTGTTGCCCCCAGTCACCAGAGCCACGCGGGTGGAGGACGACATGGCCGGGAAGGGAAGCTGCAGTGGGAACTAGAGACCAGGTGAGGAGGTGAAGACACCTGTGCTGCGGGCAGACCCGGGTGTGATGTGGCCTGAAATTTATTTCTTAATCTGGATAAGGCTTAACATTATAAAAGGACTTCATTAATATTGTTTTAAATATAAAATACTGTTGTATTTTTGTTGGATATAGAGAAGAAGCTATTAGAATGTGAAGTGCTGCGTCAGGTTTGAGTCCTGCATCCCAGGAAAGCATGAAAAAGTGAGAGGGTGTTTGTAGTAAATACAGCAAGTGCATATGCAAAGCTCTTGTTTGAGAGATGGAAGCAGGAAACCAGAGGTCTATGCTTCACAGCCTATCTTCACAACATGACCATCTATTGAAAGGTAGTAAGGATATACATAGAATTTCCAGTACCAATACCAGCTACTGTCAATTCTTACTCTCTTACTGATGGTGACCTCATTGCATGTCAGAGTAGAATTGCTCTCCGTGGAAATGCCAATGGCTGCATTTGTGCAAGGAGATCACCAGGCTTTTCTTCTGAGGCCACTCTGAATGGATGAGCACCTCTGCGGTATAGTCACCAGCAAAACTTGTTAATCATTTATTTATAGCACCCTAGTTCTCCCATTGATTTCACCACAGTCATTCTGAATATACTTTAAAATAGCATGATAAGAAAATGCTAGGAGGACATAGAGGAGAGAATACATAATTTTGCATAGGCTGAAAATGAAAAGCTTTCACTGTGAGGAGGACATGGGATCTTGGTGGAATGATGAACAAGAGCGTCCCCAGAAATATTGTGTGTTGCTGAGGGAGAGTATTCTAGACAGACTTCCAGCATGGACAAACATCATCTATATATAAAGACCAGGGAACTTCACCAACTACCCATGAATATACGAACAGCTATGATGGAATCCAACTTTGAAGGTCAGTAATGTTTACTCCAAATATCTAGCATTCTGCCATCCTACCATCCTTGAAAGGAAAATAGTAAATGTTGAATCCTCAGCTCATAATGTTTATTCAATGTTGTTACTCAACTACCTGTTGTTCCATTATCAACCCCCAAAAGCCTTGGAATTTAAAGAAATGCACTAAGTAGAAGTAATGATTAATGTATCCCAGGACAAGGAGCTTCCACAGGAGAGATGCCTCTGTCTTTGGACCCTTCCTCTCACAGACATGCCATTGTTCTTCTGAGAGAGAAAGTCTTGCTCTCACACCCTGACCACAGCTTCCCCCAGCAGAGTGTTTATGTGTTGAGTGCATCACTCCGTGGACTCCAGGGTCTAATGGGCTGTGAGAGGGGGCCCTGTGATTTTTCATCTTGCTTTCAGCTGTACAAACATGACACACTTTCCTCTTCCACTCATAGTCTAAATTCAAGCCTTCTAAAACAGTAAGAACTGCAAGGTGGTGGCAAGGGACTCCACAAGTCAAAGGAGAAGGATCGGGGCCCTTTCACCCTAACACCAAACACATTTGCAGTGTTTATTTTCTCAGCCCCCACCTAAGCTCTCAGATAAACATCTCACTAGATGATATTTAGGACCCCTCAAAAACTTTGTTTATAGGAAAGAGAATATGTGTGGCGCATTGTCCAAAGCAAGTCAGTCTTGGTCCCCAAAAGTGAAGTGAATAAGAGAGTGTAGAGATTTTCCTCTCCTGCCTTTGAGGGGCTTGATTTTACTTTTGAAATCCTATTAACTTCAAGAGGATCCCTGTTGGTCCTGTGGGTAGAAACACTCATATGTCAACCAAAAGTTCAAACCAAACAGCTGCTCAAACCAAACAGAAAAGGCTAAGACTGACAACTTCTGTAATGATGACAAGTTCAGACACCCTGTGAACAGTGACTCTGTCCTACAGTCACTGTGAACAGGAATCCACTCAGTGATAACTGATTTATTAACATCTTCACTTAGCATATCTCCTACACAAGTAGAAGAACTTTTATAAAGTCTTTAAGCTGACTAGGCTCCTCTCCCTTTGAATAAAAGTAGATTCTCAGGAGGATTCCATAAGAATAGTTGAAATGCTATTGGTCATTAATTATTGGGATGTACACTTAGTCCAGTTATTGCTGTCAAATTCAAACTGACTCAGAGCTGAACTTCTGATGGGTTTTCAGAGGCAGGAAAATTCCACAGGAGAAGATTGTCCATCTTTCTCCCACAGAGCCGCTGGTGGATTTGAATTCCAGAGAATCAAGGTCTTTGGCAAACAGTACAGCTTTCTAGGGACTACGACACAAATGCTTTCTTATATTGTTATGTTGCAAAGTTTCTTACCACTGGGCCAACTGGCAGCATCTTGAAGGATGGTGAAGAGACTGAGATAGTTAACAGTTTTAGTTTGCTTGGCTCCACAGTCAACACTCTTAGTCCGGACAGCCAGGAAATCAAGAGATGAATTGCATTGGAAAAGTCAGCTATCAGGGACCCTCCAGAGTACTGAAGAGCAATGACCTCAGGTTGGAGACTAAGGTGTGCCTGATCCGGGGTATAGTCTATTGTGTGCTATGCATTGGAGAGCTGGACTATGACTAGGGATGATAGAAATATAATTGATGCCTTTGAGCTGTGGTGCTGGAGAAGAGTGTTCAATATGCCATGGACTGCTAAGAAAACAAATGGGTTTGTCCTTGAAAGGGTGAAACCGGGCCGCTCCTTGGAGGCAAGGATTCTAAAGCTTCATCTGACATACTTTGGGCATGTTGCAAGGAAGGTCCAGTCCTTGGAGAGGGAGGGACATCATGTTTGGGAGAGTGGAGGGAAAGCTCAAGAGAGGAATACCCTCAATGAGATAGATCAATTCAGTGACTGGAGCATTGGGAGTAGGTGTGTCAGAGACAGTGAGGTTGGCACAGGACAAAGCAGGGTTTAGGGCTCTTGTACATTGGGTCATTATGAGTTGCAAGCAACTTGACGGCACATAACAACAACATGACCTAATGTACAAGACCTCTGAACTCTGTTCTGTCCTGAGCCAGCTTTATCATCTCTGACTCACCTATGCACATTACCCAGTCACTGAGTTAATCCATCTCATAGAAGGTCTTCTTCTCTTGCACTTTGCCTCCATCCTCCCAAGCCTGCTGTCCCTTTCCAAGAACTGGTCCCTTCTTTTAAACATGCCCAAAATATGTCAGACAGACCTTCAGAGTTCTTACCTCCAAGGACCAGTCTGATTTTTTCCTTTCCATTACAAGCTTAATTGTTCTCCTGGTGGATTATAGCATGTTCAACACTCTTCTCCAGAACCACAGCTCAAAGGCATCGATTATCCTTCTATCATTCCTAGTCATTGTACAGCTTTCTGATGTATACCAAATAATTGAGAAGACCATGGGCTGGATTGGTTGTACTTTAGTCTCCAGACTGGCATCATTGCTCTTCAATACTCCAGAGAGGTCCCTGACAGAAAACTTTCCCAATAAAATTAATCTTTTGATTTCCGTGGCTGTTGGTACTAAGAGTATTCATTGTGGAGCCAACCAAACTGAAGCTGTTAACAATCTCAATCTCTTCATCATCTATCAAGATGTTGCCAATTGGCCCAGCTGTGAGAATCTTCGTTTTCTTGATGTTGAGCTTCAGTTGATATTTAAGGCTGCAGTCTTTGACCTTCTGCATCAAATGCCTCAGGCCCTTTGCAGTTTTGGTAAGCAAAGTTGTGTCATATGCATGACGCAGATTGTTTATGAATCTTCCTCCAATCCTGATGCCACGTTTCTCCTCATAGAGCTCAGCCGCCCACCTCCCACATGATCTGTTTCACATATAGACTGAAAAGGTATGGTAATAGGACACATCCCTGGCATACAACCTTCCCAATTTTGAACCATGCAGTATTTCCTTGCTCTGTTCTGATGACTGCCTCCTGGTCCAAGTATAAGCACAATCAAGTGTTCTGAAATTCCCATACTTCTCAGAGTCAGTCACAGTTTGTTGTGATCCTTACAGTCAAATGCCTATAATAATTAATGAAACACAAATAGACATTCCTCTGATACTCTCTCCTTTCAGCCTAGATCAAGCAAACATTAGCTATAATAGCCCTAGTACCACGGTCTCCTCTAAATCCAGCGTGCACTTCTGACAGTTCTTGGTTGATGTGCTATTGCAGTTGTTTTGGATAATTTTCAACACAATTTTGCTTGGATGTGATAGTAATGATATTGTTCAATAATTTCCGCACTCTGACAAGTGACTTTTCTTTGGAATGAGAACAGATATAGATTTTTCTAGTCAGTTGGCCAGATTTCTTAGCACAACTCAGTGAGTGCCTAGGACACCATCTGTTTTTTTTTTAAAAATGTCAATTGGTATATGAAAAGTAAATGTTATTATGCCTTTACTGTTTATTAAAAAGCTGAGAAAAAGATAATCTAAAATTTAAACTAAATTCCATGTAGCTTTACCATACATGTTTTCTGACTCGGCAATGTTTTAGCTGTGAGTTTCCCAATTGTTCTTGAGAAAAAGAGGAAGAAATGTAATATGTCATCACAAAATAACTATGGTTGTGATCAAATGCCCCTGTTCTTTAGTCTTCAGATATAAACAGCAACACCTATTGGCAAGAAGCTGCACTGTAATCCCTAAGGTGTATGGTTAAAATCTACTAGCTGCTTTATGGAAGAAGGATGGGTAATCTCCTTCAGTGTAATTAACTGCTTCTAAAAACCCACCAGAAGCAGCTATGGGTTGGATCCTACTTGATGGTATACATCAACAGGCACATTGGTAACTCAAGTAGCCTAGTGTTAAGAAGCTATACTGCAATACTGAAAGTGTTCTGTTCAAATCTACTAGCTGCTCCATAGGCAAAAATGGGCAATTTCCTCCAGTGTAGGAGGAGATTCACTACTTCTGAAACCCTGCAGAAAAGTCAGGTGTGAGTCGATTCCAACTTGATGGTACACAATAAAAAGACGTATTGGTAACAGAATAGCTGATAAATTGTTAGTAACAGAAGAAAGGTCTTT